ATTCCACATAACTGATTTACAGATATTTACAGCTCTCTGTCCGATTGATCCACAAGGATCATTGAAATATTCTGATAATAATATTCTTATACGATCTCATTCACTTTGAGCAGCTTTAACTTGTAACTTTAAATTATTGACATCAATTACATTTCCAGTAATGTTCTATTTAATAAACTTAACACTGAATGTCTCTAGTGCTTCATCAAAAGCAAAATAGTGACCTTTTCATTTCTCGACATCATCAATTTTAACTGATGATACACATTCTAATTTTTCTTCGAATTTAGAATACTGAACTAGTATTCCAAGGTATTTTGCAACAGATACTGAATAATTTGATTTTCCTGCTGATGTAAATAATCCTGCAAAACAAGCCAGAGCATTTTTTTGTAATTTATAATTACCAACACGAATTCCAACACGATGAGCTTTAAAGATTGATGCCCATTTATAATAAAGATACTATATTCGCAAAATACTATTAGCACCACTATTTACATCCATAATATTATCTTTATTAAGTTTTGTTTTTTATGTAAATGTGAATAGCAATAGCTACTGCACATCATATTAATTCTAAGACACGAACTGTGAAATGATAATTTACAACTTTATCAAGTTTATCTAAAAATTTGACTCCTAATGCTTTTGCAAGATCAAAAATTCCATAGCTTGAAAATAATACAATTAGAACTCCACACATATCCTTCGATGTATGCTATTGGCCAAGGATAGGTTGCAGATTTGGCTATTATTCTCGTTGTTTGATTAACCTTCTAAAGATTGCTTCATCAGCTACTACATCTAAGTAATTATGCAGTTCTAATTTGAAGTCTTGTTTATACATTTCTGTAGATTGAAATATTCCTTCGTCTGAATTTGGAATTCCGCTAGTTTCTAAAATGACTATATTAGATGCATCAGCTAAACAACTATGATCAACATTTTCAAGAATTTTTTGGTGAATTGTTGTCATATCAAAATCGGTATTATAGGTAATTCGATTTTCAATATTAGTTTGAAAATTCAAAAGGTCATCAATAATTTTATCGAACATATCCCATGTATCTTTTATCTGATCGTTCATTCCAAAAAGACCTGATGAAGAAATAATTTTTTTCTCATCACATGCTTTTTCTTCTAAAGGAATTGGCATTCGCATTTAAAATGCTATTCTAAGTGTTGTATGAGAGCTTCCGCGTATTATATTGAAAATATTCCTGCAAGTAAAAGTTTTTTCTTTGAAATCAATGTTATCAATAATGGCCAAATTCCACATATTTAATCCTTTTAATAATCTTTCAGTTGGATTAACTTTAGCCATCCGTTATTTTTCTACTTGGTGTTCATGACCATCAGTATGTCCACTTATATGAAAAGTGGATAAGAGTTTTCTGAATGATAGAAAAAGCCGTGATTTTTGGGATATACTTGTCATTACTTGTGTGAACCAAATACCAAGATAAGAAAATGTCATACTTGTGATAAGTGAAACCATAAATGTTACACATTTAATAATATGTTCTTTATCTAATTATTTTAAAGGTTTGTCACGTTGTTTTCGTTTAAAATTCAAAATTGCTAATTTTTTTTAAAAATTTCATCAATAATCCCATCAAAAAATCCTGTTAAAAATTTTGGAAAACTTGCATAATATGTATAAAGAGAGGTTGGTAATTGTATTTCCTGCTTATTTGCTATAATAATTTTACGCGCATTCCATACTTCATTTTCTAATTTTTCTCCAATTTCTTTCCATTTTTCAGCTGTCCAGTCTAATTTTAGATGTATAACTTCAACTATATGATTAATATTAAATAATAATCTTAAAAAGAAATAACTAGATAATCTTGATAAAATTGTAATTATTTGTGAATCTTTTTTATTGACACACTCATCAAGATTTGAATAACATGTATTGTCTCTAAGATTATAATATTTATAGTTTAAAGGAAAAGATTCAGATAAGACAAATAAAAAATTTAAAGCTGGAACCAACATAGAAGCTAAAATAATTTTTTTTTTCTTCTGTTTCATTACATGCTACATGTTTGAGCCATTGAGCTAATAATTCTAAACTTTTAGATGTATCATCATTATATAGTTCACATTGTTCACAAGTAACTGTTCGCTTACCAGGTCCAGGTTGACGATTTAAATGCCTACCATAAAGTTCATACAGTAGCGGTCATAAGTATCTGACCGCCTCTAACTCCGGCTACAAGTAAGTAAATTCAAAATTTTTTTTTTTAT